GTGCAGTGGGAGTGAACTGTTAGGAGAGAGGGTCTGCAAATAGAAAAGTTTACCTGAGAAGGCAGGCGCTGAGGCCCTGGTCCAGTTGTACCCACTGAATTTCAGTGACTTCAGTGCCCTCTAGTGTCCACTGGCCCATCTTGCAGCTTCCTGGGTTGTGTTCATTGTCTCCCAGCAACATGTATAACCAGGTCGACCTGTGCTAGGTGCTGGGGACACTGGGCTCAGTGGGACACCTACTCTTGCAGATTTCCCAGTTAAGTAGATGAAGCCGTGAGCAGTATTGTGAGGTGAGCAGGGTGGAAGGACACTAGGGAGGTGATCCACCCTGCCTAAGTGGGACCAGGGCACGTTCCCAGAGGACACCGCTTCTAGCTGACTTTAGAAGAACAAGGAAGTGCTGTTTAGGAGGGGAGGTGGTTGTGGGGGCCCAGAGGGAGAGTACTGGTTAAGACAGGCATGGAGCAGCTGCATGTGCCTGAGAATTAGAAGTAATTGTGTCCAGGGGCGGTGCAGGTGGGGACCATGTGGTCCATATCTCTAATCACAGTACTGAGAAGGTGCAGGCAACAGGAGCTCGAGTTTAAGGCCAGCCTGGGCTACGAGGCAAACCCCCCCCCCAAATGGAGAAAGATCCAGATTAGCTGACGGTGGGAGAGAGGGACGAGGTCACTGAAGGATCCAAGGGACGTCCCCCACTGCTAGGTCATTTACGAGGTATTTAAAGCATGGGATCATGGCCAAAGCTGAGAAAAGCTGCAAAAGTAATGTTTCCTGTAGAATCCTTCTCATCCTATTCCAGGGGCTTTAGAGATACTCCATCCATGCCTATCCATGAACTACAGACTTCCGAAATAACCCTAGTATAAGCAAGAAACCCCTTTCATGGCCTCCAGGGATTTGCAAGATTGAATCCTTTCTGCATCTCTGTCCTCATACGTATCTTTCAATGAAGTTTTCACTCAGCCACATTGGCCTCTTGGAAGTTCCTGGAAGTGGCATCTTGGGCCCTTTCTTCTGCACAGAATTCTTTCTGCTTCCTGTCTCCACATGAACAGAATGTCTGTCTCCTCTCAGTTAGACATAAGCGTCCTGAAGACAGGACATACTGTACTTTTAGAACCCAGCACCGTGCCTAGTCCATAATATGTATCTGTCGAATGAAGTGCTCACCAGTGCCCTGTGGCTGGATTAAACTCCTCACTCTGAATTCGTTCAGCCCCTGGTGAGTCATCATAAATTTATGTAACTTGTGTAGATAGGTCTGAATTACACAAAGGCTCCAGTTCATTAACAGGTGTTTCCCTAGAATTCTTCCTCATCTCTGAAGCAATCGGGCTCTGGCCAAGTCCCCCACCCCCACCCCATGGCCATTGGGAGAAGGGTCAGATGCTCTTACTCCAGCAGTGACTCTTTCATCTTCATGTGCATACTTGGGTTTATGGAATCTTGAGAAGCGCCTGGGAGGTAAGCCAGGTGTAGTGGCACGTGCCTATAATTCCGGTACTCAGCGAGCTGAGACAGGAAGATTGGTGTGAGGCTGAGGTCAGTCTGGGCTACATAACGAGTCGCAGGCCAGCCAAAGGCTATGTGGCAAGACCACGTTTCAAAAATGACAAATGAATAAACACCCTTGTGAGGTAAGCAGAGCATGGCAGGGTAGCACATACCTGAAATCCCAGTACTTGGGAGACTGAAGCAGGAGAATTATAAATTTGAGGTAAACCTGGTAACATACATAGCAAGACTGTTTCAAACAAACAAAAGCAAACCTATGGAGTAGGAAATTGTCATTTCTATAAAAGCCAAACTGAGTCTCACGGGATATGCCCAGGTAAATGGTTGCATTGAACTCTACTAGGCTCCACAGTGAAGACTCTTGGAATCCCCAGAGAGTAGAACAGGCTTGCCTGAAGTCACACATTATCAGCCTTTCAGACTACAATTTCTTGTCCTCAACCCCTGTCAGGCATGAGGAAGAACTGGGCCAGATGTGAAGCAGCTGCAGGAGCTGGGAGAGTTGTCCAAGAAAAGTAGACAAAGCAGAGGTTGTGATGAGGACTTGAGCACCCAGTAATGGGAGATGGGCAGAGAGAGGGGAGGCTTCAGAGGTCCCGCAGATGCCAGGTTCGTGGTGGTTCAGAGGGCCTCTCTCTTCCTAGCAGCCTTGGCGTTCTTCAGATGAGCCAGTTGTCCTGGTAGGGAGGCAGGAAGGTTGGCCTGTGGCCTGTCAGCTCCTGTTTCTTCTAGATCACTGAGCACACTGGCGCTCCCCAGGAGCCTTCTGCTCAGAACAGCCAGGAGCTTGGGCTCTGGGGCCATGAAAGGCTAGGATGCTGTAACTGATACCCTTTTTTTTTAGAACACACCCATCTTTCAGCCCCCCCCCCAATTCTGTTTCTCCAGTGCTCCCCATGTAGAAAGTAGAGAGTGCCGTGGTGGATAGGCAGGTGCCAGACGCCCAGCTGTGCTCTGTTGTGTTGACTTTGCTGAGATTGTGCTCCTCTCTGGGTTTCTGTTGTTGGACCTGTAGATTTAGGCTGCATAGTCTTGATGGAGGAGCAACCTCTAGATTATAAATGGCAGGTATACGGTTGTGTTTTTCTCTTTGAGATTTTTTTTTTTATTTTGAGAGTTTACTATAGTCATAAAGAATATTCAGGGCCATATCCTCATATCCGAAACTGGGTGACTTGAATTTTACAGTAAATGGGCTGCAGCGGAGATGTTTGTGAGAAGCCTCTGCTGAAAGATCTCTGTATGCACAAAGTAGGAATGGACCTGAGGTTCCAGGTTCCAGCTTTTGGAATATCCAAATTAAGCCCTAATCTTGGGGTTCTGCCACTACTGCGTGTCTCAATTTTCTACAGCGGATATTCAAATAGACCCCGTGACACAAACTTCTCAGGATGAGACAAGTTGCCTGTGGGGATAACAGAGATGCACAGAGGGGGCCCAGCCCCAAGTTTGGCCATGAGGACTAAGAGAGCTCTCTAAACTGCTTCCTCTTGTGAGGAATTCCCAGCCCCTGGAGAGCAAGGAAGGAGCAAAGTTTCCAATTGCAGCCTGGCCTGCAGCCCAGCTGGCCTGGCCCCTCCTCTTTGACTCCTCCTTTTAGGGAAGGGCTGAGGAAGAAGAGGTGGGAATAGCGACGGGGTGGCACTGGCAGGGAATAGGGAGGGGGCTGCCCCTGGGACTGGTCCAGACTCATGGAACCCCCCTGGAGGAGCAGCAGGTAGGAACCTGGGCCACTTAGCCTGACCCCCCCCCCTTCCTGCTCAGACCTGGCCTGATGATTCAGCCGCCTTCTGGCTTCCTGGTTTCTGGCTCCCTTTTTGTATTCTAGAAGGCCTTTGGTTTAGGAGAGGGAGCCAGCTTGAGTGGGTGAGTCTGTGGGCATCTGAAAGCCAGCTCGCTCAGGACCTTGGAGCACCAAGCAGTAAGTCAGTGGTCCGTGAGAGTTGACCTCCGTGACTGTCCCCATGTTAGCTGCCCACACCCGGCAGCCTGTGTACTTCAGCCACTGACATTCTGATGCCAACATTCCAGCAGCCTGAGGGTGTCTGAGGCTGGCACATAGAAGGTACTTGAGAAATGGCCACTCTGCTGATGATGGCTATTGAGAGCTCAGATGAGACTTCTCACATGGGAAGTTAGAGTCTCTGTAAAGATGTGGACACCCTCTGACTTGTACCACGTTAAGAGAATGGGCAGCTGGGCTGACTTTTACTGGGGCTCTTGAATGGCCAATACTGACCATCTACCTTTAGGGACTTGTGGAGACAGAGGCTGGCTGACTTGGAGGGGCAGGCTCCACTTTCAGCTTGTCCTGACTGTGGCCACTTGATACGACCCCCCCCCCAAACCACACTGTGTTGGACAAGGCAGGGATAAGGCCCTTAGCCCCCCTACTTACTGTCCCTCCTCTTCCCTCTTGCCATTCTCTGGACTTTAATCACATCTAGCAGGTGCCAGAGGGGCCTTTAGACTGTGCACTGGAGGTGGGGGGTGGGGTACAGCAGAGGGGTGGAGTGTGGGCCCAGTCTTGGGATGTGTGGGGGACAATAATGGCCTTGGAAGCAAAAGACTCCTTGGAACCACCCTGTCCTCTACCTTGCCTGCCTTTTCGCCCCGAGCTCTGAGTCCTATCCTGTCACCAAGACCACTGAGATCCTGTCAGCCTTCTCTGCCCTCAGCGCCCCCCCCCCTTGCTCTGGCTCTCCCTGTCTTCTCTCTGTGTCTTTTGTCTAGCCCTTCCTCTTTCTCCTTTTCTGTCTCTTTCAGTTTCTCTCTGTCTTTTCCTCTGCTCCTTCAGTGCTCCACCCTACCCTAACCTACCCCAGGCCCCTTCTTTGGGGTTCCCCTCCCCTCCCTTCCTCTAAGGGGAGCCCTTGCACTCCCCACACACCTTTTCCTTCTCTTTCACCTCTCTCTGCTTTCCTTCCTACCTTCCCTGTGCTGTCTGCTGTGAGGAGGGCCCCTTTTCCCTTCCCTGCTGTGGTGTCCCAGCGTCTCTCAGTGACCCAGGTTCCCACGGAGTCACCTGGAACACAGGAGGCCCAAGCCTGGCTCTTGTCTCTACTGCCCCCTGTTGTCATTGTGTTCTGTTTGTGGTTGAGTGCTGTCCTCTCTTTCTTGACTTTGTGGTTTTTTCTTTTTCCTTCCTTCCTTCCCTCCCCCTTTCTTCCCTCCCCCTTCCTCCTTCCCTCTGTTCTTTCCTCCTCCTTCCCTCCCTCCCCTCTCCTTCCATGTCTCCTTCCCTCCTTTTCTCCTTCCCTTTCTTTCCTCTTCCCCCTCCTTCCCTGTCTTCCCATTTCCCATCATGTCTTCCTTTCTGTCCTCCGTCCCTCCAACCCACCTCACTTTCCTCTCCTCTGAGCCTTCCCTTTTTCCATCCCCCACCTACTCTTATCCCCTTGTCCCCATTATCCTCCCTGCCCCTCCCCTCCTTCCCTGTCTCTTTCTCTGTCTCTCTTTCCCTGTCTCTCACTGTCTCTCAGGTCCACAGCGTCTCACACTCTCCACCAGTATTGCTGTCCTACTCAGGCCCTTGACTCCATGAAGCTAACCCCCTCAGGCAGGCTGGCAGAGAGCAGGTAAGAGCTAGACCTAACTCTCCCCCAATCCTTCCCCTCCCAAACCAGTATGCACCATCATTGCCAGACACCCCCAACCCCTGCCCCGTGTCCCTTAGTCCCTGGAGTGACTGTCGAGTGGTTGTCTGAATGTCTGAGGAGAATATCTTGGGAGAGCAGGTCTGGAGACTAAAGAGGACCTTTGAAATCTATTTGTTCTTTATTCTTTTAAATAAGAAAGAAAGAAAGAAAGAAAGAAAGAAAGAAAGAAAGAAAGAAAGAAAGAAATTCATGCCTAGAGGCCAGTCTCCATAGTTGGGAGTGGTTGGTCTTGGAATATGTGACATTTGAAGAATGTTCTGAAGTATGAATAGGAGTTTGCCCTTTGAGTAGCCTGTGGAAGGATGCTTAGGCAGAGGGAAGGATCTGCCTACATTTTTGGAGAAGAGTATTTCCAAGTTAATCTGAAATCCTGTTTTATATCTCTGATTAGAATTCAAGAAAAGGAAGTTATTAAGAGAAAGGGAGGCCCAGCAATGTGGTGCCTTACACCTTGGTCCCAATACTCAGGAGGCAGAGGCAGGCAGATCTCTGTGAGTTCAAAGCCAGTCTGGTCTATACAATGAGTTCAAGACTAGCTGGAACTACACAGTGAGATCCCACCTCAACAAACAAATGAAAGACCTTACATTTAAAAAGAAGTAAGAATGGAATTTATAGATTATATACAATAAATTAATTTAGGAGACCATTACATTTCACAACTTATGAGGTATGTCCATAGGGGTTCTGGAAAAACATAGTTTCCAGCGCCATTTATTTATTGACTGATTGATTATGATGCTGGGAATCGAACTTAAGACCTCACTCACGAGTACAAGGCAAGCATTGTACCACTGAACTGTAGTCCCAGCTCTCCCAGTGCTTTAATTAGAGAGCAAGGCAGGTTAAATTACACTAACTATTCCACTTAAGACGCTAGAAAAAGAACAGCACAAGGAAAACAGAATACATTAGTTACTGTAGATGAAGCCAGAAATCAATGAAAAATAAAACAAAAGTTTTGATCCTCTGGCAGACATGATTTGGGAAAAAGCAAAAAAAAAAAAAAAAGTAATCAAAATAAGATTTTTAAAAAAGGGTTTATCATAAATTCTGAAGAGATTTTTAAAAAGTTATAAGAAAATGCTGTGTGTATTTGTGTGTGTGTGTGTTTATACCAAGAAACATGAAAATGTAATTTCATTGGGTGATTTTCTAGAAACTGTAAATTACTGAAACTACCTATAAAAGGGCAAAAAAAAAAAAAATCCCACCTGGAATAGAATGGAAAAGTGAGAAATAAAATGAAAAAAAAAAGTGGTCAATTTTTTCTCTTGAGGAATAATACCATGTCCAGCTGTTTTTTGTAGGTCCTGGAAGTTCTATTAAATCTGGCAAGGTCAGCTAATAAGAAAAGATAACCATCTTCCCAGTTCATGACATAAGACTAGGCACCTGGCCATTCAGTGGCATACCTGCAGTCCCCCAATACTCAAGAGGCTGAGGCAAGAATGTTGCCTTAGCCTAGGAGTTGGAAGTGATCAGCCTGGGCAATATAGAGAGACCCTTTCTCAAAAACAAAGCAGAACAGGGCTGGAGATAAAGCTAAATGGAAGAACACAAAACTCTGGGTTTTTAATCCTCTCTCCCACACATACACAATTATATGTCAGTGAGCAACTGTTTATTATTTGCTATCTATCAGAACTAGGAATTAGATGCAGGGATTTTTGCGTGTTAGATTGAACTGTGTCTCCAGCCAATTTTCCCTTTATCTTACTAAGTTACTCGAGAAATCCTAGAAACCACTAATGTTGTCCAGGCGGCACTCAGTCTTGTGTTTCTACTGCCTCTACCTCCTGAGTTCTGGGATTTCAGACTTTTGACCCCAAACCTGATGTAACAAATATTGTAATAGAATATTATTAAATAGAATCCATTAGCGTATTAAAAGTAGATCTTTCTTACGTTGGTGGCTTAGGTTTTTAATTCCAGCACTTGGAATGGAAGATAGAGGCTCAAAGTAGCAAGTTTGAGCCCAATTTTAGAGAGGGAGGGAGGGAGGGAAGGAGGGAGGGAGGGACGGAGTGAGGGAGAGAGAGAGAGAGAATATCTTAACAAATAAAGGCTTCCTAGGATTGTAGGGATTTGTTCAGTGTTAAACATTAGGAACCCTGGTGGCTGGCTGGATGATCCAGTGGTTAAGAACAGTAACTGCTCCTCCAGAGGACCTGGGTTCAATTGCCCATACCCACATGACAACTCACTAATTTCTGTAACCCACTTCCAAGGGATGCAGTGCCCTCTTCTGGGCTTCACAGGCACCAGGCATGCACTTGGTGCACAGACATACATGCAAATAAAACACCCATATACATTAAAATAATGATAGTATAATGACAATAACAAATGATAATGATAAATGTTAGAACTCTGTTAATGTAATTTGTTGCAATATTTTTCCTTTATAGGAAAGATTATTTCATTTCTTTATTAATGCTGAAAAATGTTCTATAAATTTACATTATATTCTCTTGCTAAAATGGAATAATTTGTTACACAGCAAAAGATAGCTAATACATTAAGCTAGGAATTAGTGAAAACTTCCTTAACTTGGTAAAGGTTTGTTTTTATCAGAAATCAGAGAAAATCATCAGATGTAAAAATGAAGCACTTAATACACTTCCATTAAATTGAAGAACAAAGTAAGAATGATTGCTATCACTTATTTAATAATTTTTGGAAATTTTATATAGTGGGATTTCTTTCATTGAATTTGTTATTTGACAAGTTCATACATGTGTATATTTCTTTCCAATTATAAATAATGAGATTTAAAAAGAAATGAGTAGTGTAAATATTAGAATGACTCATAATTAGCATTATCTGAAGATGATATAATTGTCTAATTAGTCAGTTATAAAGAGAATAAATGAAAATTTCTTTCAACTACTAAGAAATTCCAATGTGATAGGTACGTACAGGGCAAATATGTACCCAAAACATTAGCATCTCTAAATAACAGTAGACTCTAAAAGATGTAATAGAAAAATATACTTTTCACAGTATTAAAAAACAATCTACAAACTCCCTAGAAATTTACATGAAACAGGAAATTGTTTTGGAGAGGGCTATAAATTTTTATTGAAGGCTGTAAGACTTGACTACATCAAGGGTTATCTTCTATTTGAGGAGGAAAATGTTCAGTATGATAAACAATTGTATGTTTCCCCAATTTGATCAAAATGGTCAATGTACTTGTCATAAAAATTCAATGATATTTTATTTGGTATTGAGCAATTATATTTTAAAGCTCATTTAAAAGAGTAAATATTCATTAAGAATTTTTTGAAAAAGAGGAATAATGTAGGACATTCACCCATTAAATGTACTCAGATCGTACCAAAGACTGCATTAATGGACTAGAAAGATGACTCAGTAGTTAAGAGCTCCGGCTGCTCTTGCAGAGGGCCTAGTTCAATTGTGAGCACATGGTAGCTCACAACCATCCATAACTCAAGTTCTAGGGGGTCCAATACCCTCCTCTGACATCCATAGGCACCAAGCATACATGTGATGTGCAGTACACATAAAATAATAGAATAAATAAATCTAAAAGAAATTTAAAAGACTGCAGTAATTACAAATATTTTATCTTCACAGAAATAGAGGGATATATAAATAAAACAAAGTAGGGAGTTTAGATGCAAACCCACATGTTGAAATGTAAGATTCATTTTTGATGAAAAAGACATTTTAGACCAGTAACACATATGAAAATATGCTTTTAGAATTAACAGAAGAAACTCTGGAATATTTTAAGTATAATATTAAGATACAGAAGATCTTGCAATTTGAGACTTTAAAACCTAGAGGACAAAGCCTGGTACAGTGAGTGGTGCATGCCCTAATTCCATCACGTGGGAGTCAGAGGCCAGCAGGTGAGTCTCTGTGAGTTCCAGGTCAACCTGGTCTAGATAGTACGTAGGACAGCCAGGACTACTTAGTGTGACCCTGTCTGGAAACAAACAAAAAACCAAAACAGAATCTAGAAGCTAAGCCAGCTGTGATGGTGCCTGCCAGTAGTCCCAGATACTCAGGAAACTGAAGCATAAGAATTACTTGAAATCAGGAGTTGAAGGCTAGCAGGAGCTACACAGTGAGCTACCTTCTCAAACAACAACAAAGCCCAGAAGCCATAAAATAATGTTTTTCTTCATTAACATTTAAAACTGTGATGAAAGATACTGTATCCAAAGTTAAGACAGTAGAAAGAAACTACATAGATGTAGATATCAGGTAAAATGCTGTTATCTCTGTCTAAATCTAGGTTGTGTCCTGGAAAGTCAGTAAGAAAAAGATAACAACCTATTTACAATGGAGAATTAGGTCAGCCAGCTGTGGTAGATTTTTACCTGTAGTCCTACTGTTCAGGAAGCTGAGACAAGAGGAACTGTATGAGTTTGAGGCCCACCTGTGCTACCTAGTGAGTTCTGGGATAGCCTACACCGTAGAGTGAGATCCTGTCTCAAAAGAAAATGTTTAAATAACACCATCTGATGTTTCAACAATGAAATAGATAATAACCGAATAACTATGAATAGGCACGCAACTTACTACTTGTTAATAAACTGTAGGTGAAACCATAACGAAGCACCATTTTTTAAAATGTGAAAATTTCAAAAGATCAGAAGGATTGTGGCAAAACACAACCTCTTGTATACATTGGTTGGAGTATGGATTAATATTGATTTTTGTTTGTTTGTTTTATGGGACCACTTTGTTAGTTGCCAGGAGAATTTCTCTCTTCCTGTTTGGATTTATAAGGCAAGGCCTCACTATATAGCTCTGACTGTCCTGGAATTAACTATGTAGACCAGGCTGCTTGCAGGTGTCTTTAGAGGCCAGAGGCATTAGATGGAGATCTAGGAGGTTATGAGCTTCAGCCATGGGTACTAGGGTCAGATGGTCCTCTGCAA